TTATAAAAAATGTTTTGTGTTACATGATTATATACCAAAATGGAGCCAATTTTTTCAATATTGGCATCAGCCTCAAAAATACAATTTCTATCTTGTTTTATTGGCCTTGTGTTTCTATAGGCCATGTGGTCAAGGTAATAATACACAAACCTTTTCTTGTTTCAACTAAATGGAGGGACCAACATGCTAATGAAGCTCACTGCATTTTATTCACCACGATTCACTAATAAAAATATGTTCCACTTACCAGAGGACCCGTGACCTATCTTGTGTCCAGAGGTGCCAGGAGAGGAGTCCAGGTTGGCCAGAGAGCCATGCTGGTCTGCTTCCTTGGACTCATCTTCTGCTATTATTTCCCACCCTGAGCATCATGGGTTAAGGTCAACACACAATCTGTGGATTCCTCTCAGCCTTCAGATTCCTACAGTAAAAGACTCATGGTCTTTCCAAACTCACTTTTCACAAACTCTTCTTTGAAGGGTAAAGCCCAGATGATACTCCACAGGAACTGCCCTAACTTTAACATTCATTAGTGTGTCATGTGTATGTCTACTGCTGCATGCAAACTCTAAAACTATAATTAGAATCTAGCTTCACTGTGACCAACTAAGCAATGATAATGAACAGTCCATCTCAATTAACACACAGCAAGCAGCCACTCAAAGCCGCCCTGCTGTGCTCTTATTCTGTCAGGCAAGTTTAGAGTTTCATTAGAGCACTAATTGCCTCCTTGCAAAGTGCATCTCTCTCACAAAAGCATTAGACAGAGTCAAGTCAGGGGAGCGAGGCAGGAGTTAGGGCCTTGGTGCTTGGCCCTTATATCAACCTAGTTTGGACGATAGATAGGAAAAGGGTTATGTTTGTCCTAAAAAAAAATGCAAAACAGCGGGAATTATCTGATGCTTCTTAAAAGTTAAAAGTCATGGCTAGGGGTTAGATTCACAAATCACTTCCAGCTGATCCCACACAACGATACACATTACACACTCCTTTTCTGAAGCACTAGTATTCTTCCTTGTGCATAAATTTGCCACCATTGTTTTGCTTGGTTACATATGCTCTTAATGTTTTTTTGGGCTTTGCAAGATAGACATGCAGAATATCTGTAGGTGTCTAAGAGGATACGGACACTGACAGCCTCGGCGTCTGTGCTCAGCAATCTCTTCACCTCCTTTTCCACATCAGGAGACTCAATGTACTGTGGGAGGGAGAGAGACAGAGAGACATAGCGCGAGATAGAGATATTGGGTTACATGTGGTGTTAGTGGCATCTCTGTTGCTCTCTTCCTTCGTCTCTCTCTCTCACACGCACCTTACATGCACGCACGCACGCACGCACGCACGCACGCACGCACGCACGCACGCACGCACTCACGCACGCACGCACGCACGCACGCACGCACACACACACACACACACACACACACACACACACACAAAGGTAGCAGCTGGCTGGATGCCAGGATGCACATTAGTGATTAAAGACAGAAGGGGCCAAATCGATATGGCTCGGCTCTGCACCTTCAGGAAGATTTATTCAAAAGACAAAGTAGAAGTGTAGTGCTCAAGCACACTCGCTTTCACTTTGATCAAAGCAATAGTGAAATTGCTTTTTTTGCATGCCTTTGGGGCAAACTGAGATGGAAAGGCTTTATTTATATGTAAATCTTAGTTTTCACTTTCACCAGTTTCTGTTTAATGAAATGTAAATGTCTTGTTGGAAGAGAACCTTGGAAAGAGATGGATCAACAGACGAGATGCTAAAAAGATGGATGGGAAAGGGGGGGTGGGGGTGGGCTGAAGGGGAAATGGAAATGCCAAAACCTTTTTTTTCGCAGTCTTCCGAAATCTTCTCTTGCGTGTGTTCTTCAGAGGGCAGGTGACTGGAGACCAAAACAACAGGGTTAGTGAAGCTCAATCAGCTGTGGAGGGCAAGCTATACTTCTTGAATTGCTGATGTGCCATGTTTTCAGCACCAACTGCACAAAAAGCTGTTGAGTGTAGATGTTTGTCTACTTACTGCCGTGGTTCCAAATGAATTTCTTGTCCTTGTCTTTGTCCTTCTTCTTGCTCTTAGGGTCGGTGCCAGTTGGCTCCTCTAAAGGAGGGTAAAGGTCTCCATCTAGTGTACACACCAGCATCTAAACCATGCATGCAAAAATGAATGGTAAATCATTTATTGTACTTTGCATTCTGCTGATTAATGTTGATGTACTCCTGTATTATGAATAACAAGAAAAGCAGGTTTTCAATTTTAATGTCAATGTTAAAAAATAAGGAATTTTTTATTTGCAATTGGTATCCTAAACTTAACAAATATGTATCCAATTTTTGTATGAACATCTCATCTTTAACATAATGTCACAGTACTGCTTTAGCTGACAAAAAGCATGTTTTAGTCATAATCATCCTAAACTTGGACACCAATAAATGTATCCAGTAAAGATGACATTCTACATTGGACAGCCTGACATCCAATTTCATGCCACTACAGTGATTTACCTGACAGACATCAGCAGTTTTGTAAAATGTCTTCTTGTCCACAGTTTTCAAAGACTCAATCATACAGGGCAGATCCACCAGTTTGCAGGCCAAAGGGACACGGTCTACTCTCACTATGCCATGACGGCCATCGGCTACAAATAACATGAAAGAAATGATTGATTATAAAGAAATGTTGGGAGTGAGACTGCAATAACCACTGCCTTCAGACACAGCTGTCACTGTTAAGTTGAAAAATAGAGAGTACAAAAGCAGGTGGAAAACATGTTTTTCAGACATGCATTAGGCAAGAACATTATTTGGTAGGAAATAGGACACTTCATGACACTTCAATTTTCTTGTCAAGTTGACAGTTGTACTTGGTAATATATTCCAACCAAACAGAAAATATGAATCACAAAAATACCAATTCCATCCCTGCAAACTGCAAAGACTAAAAATTTCAGACTCACTGTAGAAATATTACATTTTGAATATTTAAATATATATCATTTTTTAATTAGTTTGAGACTTCAAACAAATAACCTGATTATTAAGACAAATTAAACTGATATTTGAACAGTGATGTCACACAGATCCAGTACTATGACTACTTTTAAACCAACTTACGGTGCAACTCAATGGTGAGTCTGTCTTTCATGTTCATACTGCTTGACTGGGCAATCCTTCTTACGGTTGATGCATATTCCTGTTAAAGTAAAAGATTAATTTGCATAATTTTCAGCAAAAGATCACAATTAATTTCATAGTAATCGGTTTCAACATGTACAAGTCTTACCGAAGGCAGCCTCAGGACAAACTGGCTCTCCAGCTCATAAGGAGCATCCTCCTTATTCTTGGAGCCGACCTTCCCAACTAGAATCAAAACACCATGAACAAAGTTACATCTGAAACAACTTCTAATCATCTAAAGGAAAAACACTCAAACCAAAGTGCACTGTGTGCTTGGTGTTCAGAGCTGCAACAAAATTTTGCAACTTTTAATGCTTGTCATATTTCATATATAAGCTTCTTTCACAATTTGATTTGTTTAACATGTTTGCTACCTGTATCCTAATATTTCTATTCTGCATTGTACTGCATACTGATTCTGTTTTTTGTATATTAAGCATACATTACAGCTTCTTGCTATCAAGTCTATAGTATTTTGCCTATATAAGTCATTACTTCTTTATTGAATTTATATAAGCGCAAAAATCATCACCAAATTACTTAGAGAACTTAGGTTATAAGATTATCTATCGCAGTTTGCGTAACCGTAGTATAACGTTAAAGCTAATTTAGCATGGTTATAGCGAACTGTTTGTAGCACTACAAACAGCCCTGAAAAAACGCTACAAACCTTGAATTGTAGACACTGTGGTTCACATCTTGCAGCAACCGAATTATCGTTATTTTGTTGTTATTTTTACCATTATCACTTGATTTCGAAACAGGTGCGTTAGCATTGGCAGCATGTTTACAAACGAGACAGCTAACGAGCTATCGTTAGCTTAGCAGTTAGCTTGAATTAATAGCAACGGATTTTAACGTACCTTTCAGTTTAGATGTCATCTTCGTTTTTGTAATTTGGATCATGCAACTGCATGTGTATGTTTGAATGATCAAATAAAACCAAAGAAAGCAAGGGCGATTATTACGTTTCTGATTTAAAACGTCTTCACTATCCACAAAAAACACAGCCAAGATCGAGACGAAAACACCAATGGACTGTGTTGACTCTTGCAACATTCAGGTCCTCCTCGGAAAACTTAGTTCAAAGACTTTACCGCACTCCAAGCAAACAGTCTGTATGTCTTAAATAAGTATGTCTTATAATAACAAAATTTATAATATATAGATACAGTCGTTTTCGCACGCTGGCTTCACTGATTAAGGACTAACATTACTTGATATGAAATTTACCCCGTACAAAAAAATAATTTCCGATGTATTGGAACGTTACATTAATTCCCGTCTTTTATTTTTCATCGCGAGATTTGTCACAACGAGATTTGTAAAAAAAAAAAAAAAAAAGAAAAAAGAAAAAAGTGACACTCAAATGTCACCTATCTGGCAAAATATTCAAATTGTATTTAGTTGTTGCATAGTTGCATTATTGCTATACGATATACAATATTGGAAGGTGAATGGATTTAAACAAAACAAAATGCAATTGTCCACAAAATCAGTTTATTAATCATTAAATTGTAATCTCTAGTTTTTACTTCTCACTTCCTCTTCAGGATGTTGAAAGTCGGAGATTTCACAATAAGAGTCATGTGTTAGAACTAGTATCATCAGCAGTGGAAATACTCCGCGAAAAACGACTAAATATATGTCTCTGTTCATTCACAGTGTGTATCAATTACACACTACACGTTTAACTACGCTTTATTTGTTAGAATTGATTTAAACTAACAACATCCTGCCATAGTGCTTTTACAACGAAATAAACACTGCATACTTTCTGGAAAATATAGTTTTCACTTCCGGGCCGGAATCGATATCTCTGTTGCTGTCGTCTTTCTCCTGTCCACTACCCCTGCCAGTACGTGAATAATATTTGCACAAAGTTTGCTTTCATCCGCGACGACATTACAGCATTTGACCACCGACCAGCCGAAATGATGTTTAAAGTGACTGTCAACGGTGCCTGGAGGGCGACGAGGACGCTGTGGCTGCTCGTGTTAGTGAGCCTGTCTGTGTGCATCTGTGTGTGCCGAGCATCCTCGTCTCGGGAGGAGGACAGTGCCATGGAGAACATCGTTACAGAGAAAAAGGCTGAGGAGAGCCACAGGCAGGACAGCGCAGACCTACTCATCTTCATCCTGCTCCTCACCCTCACTATTCTGACCATCTGGTTGTTCAAACACCGGCGGTTCAGGTTTCTGCATGAAACTGGGCTGGCGATGATTTATGGTGAGAGAGAGAGGGAGACGTCACCAGTGTATTTACTCTCATTTTGTATTGATGATTAGATTTGAAATGACTGCTTTACTAAGCTGGAACGCATTTGAGTGTATTTACACACTAGGCTGTGCCAGGGAGATGCTGCAAGGTAACAAGCTTAGTTACGGCAACATCAACACCTCCTCTGCACCCTGCTTGGTCTCGAAAATGACATCTAAGCAGCTAAGTATTCTGGGCCCCCGGAGAGAACAGCTGTAGCATGAAAAAGCCAATACAAAATTTCACTTCTCTTTGCTCTGGGATGGTATAAACATAACTTCGAGCAGGTTCCTCCTTCACTCAGACACAATCACATCTAAACACCTTGCATGACAAACTCCACTCACCAGTCGTGGAAAGTAACCAAGTACATTTACTCAAATAGTCTTCTTTAGTATATCATTGAGGTATTTATACTTTACTTGAGTATTTCCATTTTTTGCTACTTTTTACTTGTACTACAATACATTTCGGGGGGAATTCGTACATTGTTTACTCCTCTACTTTTATTTGATAACTTTTGTTGCACATTTAGATTAATAATCCAAAATATAATTAAAAAATACATTATGATGTATTATCATTGGTAAAGAGGGAGGGAAATTAACAAGCTACACAACAGTATATAAAGTAATTCTAATTTACCACCTGCTACACTGAAGTGATGTACACATGAATGCATCACTAATTATAATCCAATAATATGATATACATTATTCTAAAATGGGCCATTCTGCATAATAGTACTCTTTTCACTTTTGCTTTAAAATTTGAATGCAGGACTTTTACTTGTAACTGAGTCTTTTTACTAGGTGATATTTCAACATTTACTTAAGTAAAGGGCCTCAGCACTTCTTCCACCACTGCCGCTCACTGAGCTTTCATTGCTCTTTGCTTCCAATTTTTAACTGGGTGGTTTGGAGATTTGCCAATATCCTCCTCAGCAATCCTCTAAAATAATTCTCTGAATGGATGAAAAGCAGGTCATGCTGTATTACAATCATGTTATATTTTGTTCCAACAATGACTAGTTTCAATAATTGCTTAAACCTCAGCACACCTCACCCACACCCAAAGGTAGTTTCACTTCTGTAGCCTGAGGGACTTTTTCACAGCAGACATTTAGGTGTGTCATAGCAGGAGAAGCACAGCTGTAGTTAATAATAGCGACTGCATTCAGTGTGGATGAGTTAGTTCCCGTGTTCATGTATTCTGCATGCTCACTCACCGATTTGTGTTACTAAAATACTTAAATGGAACAAAGCCGCCAGTAGCAGTATTGACTTTTTGCGCTTGATAAATCAAAATTCCTGAAATGAATAATACAGAGCTCTTCTCAGAAAGAGTGGACATGTACAGACTGTGTGTGACTGACATCTCTCTCACTGGTTAGTTATGTTAGACCTGTCAGGATGTCAGTTTTGATGTTATTACTTCAATAAGCATGTCGTGTTTGGTGACATCACGTAATCCCAGAGCATTGCTCCACTCAGCTTTCTCCTGTCTACAAGTCTAAACAGCCAGGGTAATTGGAAACACCTGTGTGGAGTTTTTGAGAATCACCATCTAAACACATGGTATTCCTAATTTTTCTGGTACATACCTGACAGTGCAATTCATTCTCAGAGATGTTTTCCAGGCATTAATCTGTTCGCAAAAGCTGAGAATATGACATTTAGTTTGGCTATGTGAGAATAAGAATTAAATATTTTCACCATATCTTGTCCAGAAAATAGCCGTCGTGAAACATTTGATAACCCTCTGCAAATTTAGGCACCCGCAGAATCATGACCACCTTTACTCCTCTTGTGACGTCTCGTTTTAGATCTTGGTCTTTGCGTTGGAATCATAAACAACTGACATTAACTGACTCTGCCCTCTGTGTTCTCTTTGTTTTGCCTCTTTTCTTTTCACTTTTCCCAGGCTTACTTGTTGGTGTGGTCTTACGCTATGGCATCCATGTTCCTCGGGACATTAGCAATGTCACGCTTAGCTGCCACGTTAACGCCAGCCCCGCCACTCTGCTGGTCAATGTCAGTGGCAAATTCTACGAGTACACTCTGAAAGGAGAGATTAGTGCCAACGAGGTGAACGACGTGCAAGATAATGAGATGCTGCGAAAGGTACAGTATGTCATGTCATTGTCAGGCAGAAGTTTAGAATCTGATCAAAAGAAGCTGTATTGATTGAATCTTATGAAATATTGGGAAGTTCTGGAAGTTCTTGTATATCTTTCTGTGGATTTCATGTCTGTTCTTGTTGCAGCTTTAAAATATCGAGCTGAAATAATCAACGTAAAATTTAACAGCAATTAGTTTGAGAATCAGTTCGGCATTTCAGTTCTTTTTAAGCATGTGATATGTAATTGAACAATTTCAATCTTTATACAGCTGATTGGACAAATCAAGCAATTTGAAGACATCACCTTCAGCTGTAGGAAATTATAAGCTACATTTTTCACTTCTGGCATTTTACAGACAACATAATTAAACATTTAATCAAGAAAAATCATTATCAGATTAATTGATAATGAAAATAATTGTTAGTTGTGGTCTTATCGAAATATATTATTTGGTTTTGAGTCTTGAATTGCTCCATGAATTCTCCACATTAACAAACTTATCTATTTATACTCTTAACAAACAAGATATGCAATCCAAAGCTTGATTCAAAAGAGTGCATAATCCTGCTAGCATAAGCAGCAGCACTTTTCAAGTCATAGCATGGTTGGTACAGACACATTTTAATACAGCACTGTTCTAGATTCACATCTAAAAATGGTTTTAACCATAATGTTTTTGACTGTGTATAGAAGCTGTCCCCTTTTAGCATCTGTCATTTTACTATTATAACAACTTTTTGTTGATTGTCCTGGAAGCTACTTCATGCTGTCCCAGATGTGTCACTTAGGATTAATTAATTAATTAATTAATTAAAGTTATACAATAATGCAGCAGCCTAGAAGTGTCCATTCAATATGCTTTGTCTTGAAAGTATTTTTAATTCATTCCTTATCCTAGTGATTCAGAACTGTGATATGATGTTATTACATAATAACAGGATATGATGTTTTTTTTGTGTATGTGTGACTCAGGTAACCTTTGACCCCGAAGTGTTCTTCAATATTCTTCTACCACCTATCATCTTCCATGCTGGCTACAGCTTGAAAAGGGTACAGTCATACTTTAGTGTTTGAGCCACGCATTCTACTGCCTCAAAGAAAATTACCCATTGATTACAAAGTGAATACTTTTAACACTAGCTGATGAGACAGTGTCCTCTGCTAAAATGAAATGCACAAATCCACTTATTCCTTCTCACCTTTACAGACCTAAAGAGTTGATGCAGTGAAGATGGATGACTTAGAATTGAGTCAGTATGTAGATGATTGTTGATGTGTTAAATTGTTTTGTCTTTCAGAGACACTTTTTCCGTAACATGGGATCCATCCTGGCTTATGCCTTTCTGGGGACAGTTATTTCCTGTTTCATTATCGGGTAGGAATATTAATTAACCAAAAAGAAAACACTAAGACAGACATTCTTCTGATTTCTCATTTGCATCTCTATTTATAAGACTTTTTATGGCAGAGCAGAATTTATAAATGTCAATTCCTGTGGTGTTAAAGTTTCCATGATGCCATTAAAGTCAATGTTGTTTATGACGATGTGCAAAACCACCTGCTGTTCCTCCGTCAGGTTGCTGATGTACGGCTGTGTGATGCTAATGGAGCAGGTGGGACAGCTGGATGGAGACTTCTTCTTCACTGACTGTCTGTTCTTTGGAGCCATTGTCTCTGCCACAGACCCTGGTAAGTATGCTGGTCCTCAGTTTTCAAAAGTCTTTTCTGCTTACATGTTGATTATAACCATGATCCACTTTAGCTCAAAGCCACATTCTCACAAACAGAACACAGACAGAAACAAATCATCATAAAACTAAAGATTTGTCAATGTTTCATATAATTTATTAAGTCAAACTGTCCACAGCTGATACTGTGGAAACAAAACTGTGGTGCATTGTACTAACCCAGTAAAGTATGTTCATTTCTTGTATACTAATTTCCAAAAAAGTACACTTTTATCATTAATATGCTCTTTGTGCTCTTTATTTGATATAATAATAAACGTTATTGCTATAGCACCTTTCATACGTGAAACAGAGCTGAAAGTGTTGTAAAATTTAAAAAAGAAATAAAACAGAAACAGACATTTTAAAAAAAGAGTATAGATTTGAAACACAGCTCTTGAGGCTCTTGACACCCATGGCCGTCTCGCTCGGTGATTTGTGTCGGTTCTAATATGGAGAATAATTTAGTGTGTTTCTCTTTGTTTCACAGTCACAGTCCTGGCTATCTTCAACGAGCTGCAGGTCGACGTGGATCTGTACGCTCTGCTGTTTGGGGAGAGTGTGCTCAACGATGCCGTGGCCGTGGTTCTGTCCTCGTAAGTCGTCTGTCTTTTTGACACCACACACAAAGTCTGCACTTTCCACTAACTGTCTAACTGTCTTGAATGTGCACAGGGATGCTAAGCCACTGGTTTTCTGAGAGAAATGGTGGAAGTACGAGTCATGCATGTTTTTTTTTGATCGATTGACCAGTGACCTTTTAACTAACCTGATATCAGTTTCTCATTACTGTCATGCTAAACACAAGGCGGTCCCTAAGCTAACCCTTAGTTTCTCTCCTGCTCTACATGGAACTTTTATTATTTCCACAGAATTGTAAATTATAATAGCAGGCACGGTGGAGGGGCCGATCCCCACGGAGAGACTCTGACCAGCCCATTGAACGGGTGCATTAAGTAGAGCATGACATTGTGTGCCTTTGCGGTGCCTTGGGACCATCATGACAAATCACTGGCCATTTGTTTTTACACTCTGGCTTATCCGACCCGAGATGCAGAACATTTCATGGTTTATTCATGAATTTTTGCTTTTTTTGGTTAACCGTTTTTGATGTTGTGAGTCAGCTAAGAGCACATTCCTATTATATTTGGAGATACTGTATATACAGAAGTCAAGGAGAGGGCACGAAGCCAGGAATCCTTATAGAAGAAATGCCTGGTGATTTGTTTTGTGAGTGTGGGGGCTGACAGTGGAGAGGGTGAATAAATCTGCTTTCAAACTTGGTTCAAGTAGTATTTGAAAGTATTATTTGGAAATAAGGTTTGCCACATTAATTACATTTTATCACCGAACTGCCTTAATAAAATATTAAATTTTTTTATAATTGCTTTCTCATGCTGACAACTACCCTGCTGTGATAACTTCCCTTTCATCCCAGGCTCCAGTTTAAAACCAAGAAACTAAAATATTTTCTAAAGCTATTTGACCCAAGTTTGATGAGAAGCATGTGTCCTTTTCCTGTGAGTATGACTTTACTGGGATAGCTCAGTGTTGATACATAACCACCAGGTGACACAAAGCTGATGTATAAAGTGACGATTCCCACCTTCTTTCATGAAAAAACACTGTCCTGTGCCTGGTTGCTGTGACACAGATACTGTGTCAATGAGTTTGTTGTTTTACTGGTTACTGGAATTTTTCAGTCCACATGATTTTCAAAGCAGATTCTTTATTTGGACTAAATTCTCTTAGAGGAAGGAAAAAGCTGTGTAGTCTCTTTTTTCTTCCCGTACTGGCAGAACATGGTTTTTGCCGCCTTCTACCATGAAAAATGTGTATTTAACAGCATATAATGCTGTCCACTGTTTGCTGAAAACAAGGTGCTTTTCATTATGAAAGCAGCAGTAAAGTAAACCAAAACTACACCATAACATTTAGTAGTTTTTAATTATCTACTGTTCCACCCCTGCTCAGGTTTTATTGGAACACGTGTCAATGTGAAACTGAACTGCGTATATAGAGTATAAAGCACACATTGCATATCTGTACTTTCACACAGCAATATCACTTCAGCAGACTTTTAGGCAAGCCACTTTGTTATAACACTGAACTATCCAAATACAGTCTGACACTCTTTTGTTCCAACCCTCTGACCTCTACATTACTCTACTGCTCTCTTTATCTTAAATCTCCCAGTTTACGTGAGTGAGAGTTTTCTTCTGTGAAAGCCATTTTATCAACACAGGAGCACCTGAAATGTTTTCAGAAATATGTCGTATACAAAGAGAGATAGTGTAGTGATAGACTATAGAATATATACTACTACGTTTTCTGTGCAGGCTTCAACTTCAGCTGAATAAGCTGTAAAACAAGTTCATTCATTAGTCTTAATGTATGACACGATTTACACTCTGTGCACTTTGTATAAATACTTTCCAATAAATGGTTGTACTTTGTCTCATGTCAGGTCTATAGTAGCATACCAGCCAGAAGGAGACAACACTCACACCTTTGAGGTCATGGCGATGCTGAAATCTTTTGGGATTTTTCTCGGAGTCTTCAGTGGCTCTTTTGCTCTGGGAGTGGCCACCGGAGTCGTCACTGCTCTCATATCTTTTCTGTTGTTTTATTATTTGTTTACGTAACAAAAAAACAAATTCTAAAGGGTGTATTAATAAGATCTGTCCATCCACTGCAGCATGTAGCAGTTTAAAAAGCAAGGTCGCCGTTGAGTTGATCACAAAAAGTATTTTCATGAATTAAATTCATGCCGAGGGGTGTGATCTTGTTGTTTGTACAACAAAAAATGAAAAAATGAAAAAAAGAAATTAGTAGATAGAAAGTAGTAGAATATATTTTTAGAATCAGCTTGAAACATGTGACAGCATGCTCCAGAAGCCGTCACTTGTGAAATGAAACAAATGAAATTATCTAATTAAAAAAAAAAATTATCCTATTTTAAGAAAATATGTTTTCTAAGTTGTTATGACTGAATGTGTACACACGTGTTAAGTTTAAAAAGTGTGTGAGTATCTTGTTAAGCTCCTTGACTGTCTGTACGTGACTAAGTTCACCAAGCTGAGGGATTTCCAGCTGTTGGAGACTGCTCTGTTCTTCCTCATGTCATGGAGCACGTTCCTGTTGGCTGAGGCCTGTGGCTTCACTGGTAACATGCACACACACACACACACACACTGAAACTGCCATGATAATGATGATGATATGCTGTAATTTAAGTTGTTGTTGTCCTATTTTGATTGTAATTTGGATATAGTGACTGCGTTTAAACTGGGAGACATGTGGTCCCTCCTGCATGTCAACAAGCAATATTGTTAATGCATCATGTTGTTAGTAATCAGTGTTTACTGATCCTCTAACTTTCCTCTTTCTGGATTCCTGTCCTTCCTGATGTGTTGCAGGCGTGGTCGCAGTGCTGTTCTGTGGGATCACTCAGGCCCACTACACCTTCAACAACCTGTCCCCTGAGTCCCAGGACAGGACCAAACAGGTCAGACCTGGACTAAAGCAAACGGCTGATTATGTTCTTTGTCACTGTGCTTAAAGTATTGAGTTGTCTTTCTGCCTTTTATATTGAAAGTAGTAAAAAGTTTTGAAAATGGCAGTTAAAGCACAATGGAAATGTCACATAACTAATAAAGCTGTGTTTCAGTTTACAAGCTATAATATTGTATAATAGTAATTGGTTTGTTGGCAAAGCAGAGTATATCAGTGGTTGTTGTTCCTGTCATCCACCTTCACTGTTGGAACGATAGATAAATGCTCACTGCACCCCTATCTTCATCAGTGCACACACAGAGAAACAGGACCAAATAAACTTGAATGATGGTGGAAAACCAGGTTTGATTAATGAAAAAAATGTTTGAGAGAAAGAGAAAAGAGAATCCAAAAATAAAAATATGATTTTTCTTTTCAAATATATTGAATAAAATAACTTGCATTAAAGGTATAGTTGATTTTTAACGATTGTAGTCAAAGCCATGCAAGCCAAGTGTATTTAGCTGTTGCATTTGTTAAACTGTGTTCCCTGTTAACTTTTATTTTCTCTTATCCATCTTCTTTTTCTTGTGAAGCAGTACATCCACCGAGGCTGCTATTATCTAAATCAATTGATGTTTTTTCATGTGTTGCAGCTGTTTGAACTGCTGAATTTCCTGGCAGAGAACTTCATTTTCTCCTACATGGGTCTGACCCTGTTCACGTTCCAGAACCACATCTTTAATCCAATGTTCATCGTTGGAGCTTTCGTATCTTTTGCACATGAAACTGTCTTGTGCACACAAAGCCCGATGACCCTCAGCCCGGTCACAGCATTTTAGTATCAGCATAGGAATATGGAGCTACCACCATTTTCAGTCATTTTCAGTTCCCACGGTTACAACTTAACACCAAGATGCAAATGGTAATTGATTTAAAGGGGCAGTAAATAATCTTGGCACAGAGTGAGGAGGGTTGACTAGCTCTCTGTTTTGTTTTGTTGTCCTCTCCTTAACCTCTTTCCCACCAAGCTGGCGGTGTTCCTGGGAAGAGCTGCTAACATCTACCCTCTCTCATTCCTTCTTAATCTGGGACGACGCAACAAGATCAGATCCAACTTTCAGCACATGATGATGTTTGCAGGTTGGTGGTATACAGATTCAAGAAGACGTTTATAATGCAGAGCAGGACACAATGTGCTTTTAAACCTCCGCACCCTGTGGATGCACATTGTTTTCTAGTTTCTTACAACCTACTTTGAGTACATGAAAAGATAGCCAACTTGTACACAGATATCACCTGATTTGTCTCATGCTGAAACTTGCATGCTTGTTTGTTGATAACATTCTTCATGCTGTGCTCCTTAGGACTGCGAGGCGCGATGACCTTCGCCCTGTCCATCAGGGACACGGCCACATACGCCCGTCAGATGATGTTTTCCACCACTCTGCTTGTGGTCTTCTTCACTGTTTGGATTTGTGGAGGTGGCACCACCCAGATGCTGTCCTGCCAGCGCATACGGTACACCTCTCCTCCACCCGCTCACATCCATCCCCGGGTCAAACTGAATCTGCAGTGCTTGGTTTTAACACTGGAGGGTCACATGAGGACAGTTCAGATAAGGGAGGAAAATCAGCTCTTTTTAATGCTTGTCTCTGATTGTTCACACTTCATGGCTCCTGTTTCACTAATCTCCTATCAGGTTAAAACTCCAAGAATTGTTCACTACAACCTTTGGCCCTCCTCTGGTTAATGCTGGAGGCTTTTATATGCAGAACACTCACATTTTCAAGGAACCGTGCTGCTCAGAAACTCGCTAAACAGGGTCATCACTCTTCTCAGCACGACTCTGCTCCGACAGTTGCTGAAACCAATTTACACGTGTTTCGTTTTTTCTTTTTCACAGAGTGGGAGTGGACTCTGATCAAGATAACTCTGTGAGTGTGTCCCTTGTGAAAGACTGATTACTCCACACTGTGACTGAATATGACGACCAAAGATATAGCTAAAAACATGATCTGCCTTTTTTTCTAGATGAGTATCACTGAAGGATCAGAGAGAAGAAGCACTAAACAAGAGAGTGCCTGGCTTTTCAGAATTTGGTACAACTTCGACCACAAGTATCCTTTGGTGACAAATGACTTTGGTTTTTATCAAAGTCATAAAAATCAAGACAAAAACTGCATATTTTCTTTTTTTCTGTCCTCAAAAGGATTTTTAGTAAGTTGTTGTAATTTTCTGCACGTTTATGAGAGCTACACACATTCATAGCCAGCCTCTAAAGAATGCCACACTTCTGAAACTGAATTAAATACACAAGAAAATATAAGTTAAAGAGCAGAAATCATCATTCAGTCACAAAATATTGTCACAAAAAGAAGAATAAAATGCTAAACCTGGGTGAGCATTAAAAACTGTGCATACAGCTCAAAAACTACAAAATATTGTATTAAATCAATATAGAAACAACTAAAAAAAGTCTCACAACCATTAACGCATGATTTCCTGTCAGGACTTTGAGATGACATCTTTACAGGAAGTTGATATAATTGTATTTTTTACAATCGAAGGCTACTAGATGAGCCAGGCCAGAGAATTGGAGAATTCTGTAGTTCACAGTGTCAGACAGCAGAGGGAGTGCCATGTATAGACAAATTATCTCTTGTATTGGCTGTGTAATATTAAGGTCATTATGTTTAGTGTTTTTATGTATTTTTACATAAATGACTCATAAATTGAATTAGTTCATATTTGTCCATTTAGTTTAAAATTGACTTTTTAATCTACTCAGCTGTCATTCGTCACACTACACAGGGGCATAGTGTGTGTGTTTGTTTCTGTTAGATGTGTCTAACCACCTTCTCAGTGCCTGTTTTCTCTGTAAACTGTCCTTGACTCAAGCCCCCCTCTCCAGCTACCTGAAGCCCATCCTGACTCACAGCGGCCCCCCTCTCACTGCCACGCTGCCTCCCTGCTGCGGCCCTCTCGCCCGCTTCCTCACCAGCCCTCAGGCCTATGAGGTCAGACACTGGTTCATATAGGAGCTATTTCAGACCAAACTGTATTGTGAAGTTTTTCTCCTGTATTAACAGATGGAAAAAAAAAAAGTTACTCTGATGAATCACAGAGGTTCAGCTTGAAAGGTTTTGTTTTACAAGGCAGAGGAGGAAAAGATTACAAGCTAGAATTAAAATCTTTTATTGGGGTATCTGACATCTTTCCTCTCCCCACCAGAATGAGTGCCAATTGAAGGATGACGACTCCGACCTCATCCTGACAGACGGCGATATCAACCTGACCTATGGCGACATCACAGTCAGTACAGATGCCTCAGGTGCCCACACCAGCGGCGGTCCGGCTTATGCTGGCGCCACCTCCGATGACTTGGACAGAGAGTTAACGTATGGAGATAATGAGCTGGTGATGAGGGGCACACGCCTGGTGCTGCCCATGGATGACTCAGAGCCACCCTTCACAGACCCCCACCACCGCCTGCGGATGTGAAGATAGTCTTTCGGTGCAGACCCAGACAACCGTCCGACTCACACTGTCCCGAGCCATCGAGCAAAAGACCAGTACCTGTCTCCCCTTCTTTCATCCTTCCACTGAATTCTCTTTTGCTCTCGCACCTTTCCTTGTTCTTCTTGCTTTTTTTCCACACATTTCCTCACAGCTACATTATCCCACTTCCTCTACAGGCAAATCACTGTCTCTACCTCATTCTCATTCTGCTCGTTTCCACACCTTTCTAGCATCTGCCAAAACTGTAATATAGTCTTATTTATTTGCAGGGTTTTTTTTTTAGCATTCATTTGAAAATCAGTTTCTCTTAGTTTGGCTTAAATTTGTGTGCCACCTTACTGTAGCATTGCACAGAGGTCTAGCAGCATGCGTTAGTGTGTAAATGCAAGTACCAGACACTAGCTTACTTGTCGATGTAGAGTATATCACAAGAGTACTATAACTTTGATATGCATGCTGAGGATGCTTATTGTTTTCTTTGTATGGGAGGTTGAGGGCTTTTGTGTTTTGGGTCTGACCTTGAATGTTGCTGCCTTCTCTCTGTGCACCAGAGACATGCTGACCCAGTGGACAACTTTACTGTACATTTGGTTACAATCAAGTGCCTGGGAATTGTAGTTTTAAGCCTGGCGACCCATGCTGAATGAGCTCTGGGAAGCAGAGCTGGTTGAGGATGGGCAGTCATGCAGTTGTAGTTTTCCTTTGTAAAAAAGAAAAAGAAAAAACCCAAAAAACAAAACAGACACCTCTGTCCATAAGGTAGCAATATACTCAGCGGGTGTTTGGGCTGTGAGTTTGTGCTATTCGCCTGTAAATAGTGTGTGACAATGTAATGCCACCAATGCGGTGTAACCTGGCAGTGAAAGTTGTGGATCTCTCCCAATGACCTTTGACTGTGACATAGAGAGGGACTTTACACCTTATTTTAGAAGCTGATGTCGCTCACGGCAGAACGAAGGGCTGTTGTTCTGAAAACGAGATCCAAATGAAGAAAGCTTAGTGCCATTTCTGTCCTGCATTTTGATATTTTGTGAAAACTGAATGCAGATGACCTTAAAGTGTTTTTATATTCTTTTTTGCAACAGAGCTTAAGTACTTTAAGCTGAATCACATTTTTCATACTCATCTAGCTTTGCACACACATTTTCTATTACAATCGTTGCATTGTTGTTGTGGAGACTTTGAATTTTCTCATTAAACGAACCTGAAAAACACAGATAGATACATGAATTTGACCCTAAAGGATCCTCGTACCATGTTATTGGTAAGCACACATGTATTTTTGTGAGTATAAGTTTGGCAAATCGGAGAATTGATTATCTCTGTATCTGAATTGAATAGGGCTGCAACCAGTGATTATTTTCATTATCGATTAATCTGCCAGCTGTTTTTGGATTAACTGATCAATCGTTGGGCCTGTAAATGTCCAACGATAGTGAACAATGCTCATCACAGTTTCCAAAAGCTCAAGCTGACATATTTAAACGTCTTGTTTTTTCTGATCAACAGTTGAACACCTGAAGGTATTCATTTTACAATCACGTAAGACTAAAAAAATAACAAATCTTTACGTTGAAGAAGCTGGGTGCAGTGAATTCTTTATGATATTTATGTTGACACTGTGGCAGTTCATCGTTAGGAGGATTGCCTGAATAGAACAACAATAGTTGTTTAACTGCTGGATGTTTTTCTCTGCTGTTCTTTAGGATTGATGGTTTGATGGTTAAACAGGATTTTCATAAAAGAACATACAATGGAAAGAGTACTGATGGATGGATGTGTTACATTTAACTTAAAGTGTTATTACACCCTGTCGCACACTGTGTATGTAGGCTGTTTCGGTGGGAAAAAGAATGGAAGGTTTTGTGATCTCCCTCTGGTGCGGAGTTTAGCAGCTGTTAATGGGGGTTTAACAGGAAGCGTTGATAGGACGTCACCCTGGCAACGCTGTGTTGATGTGGACAGAATCCAGGAAACACTCGGTGACGTACACAACAGTTTTGTGGTTTACCCTCCTGGTAAGCCGATGGAAAAAAAAAAACGGTGTTTGCAAACTGGATGTAAGAGGATGTTAAAGAAAAGAGTGAGAGAAAAGGATGATGAAAGGAAGAGAAATGGATGAGGATGGATAGTTAGGCCTATGTTTGTGTGTGTGTTCGTACGTTGGGGATGATACAGAGGTGGAAGGAAGAGCAGGCTTTTAGATATCACTTTTCCTTCCACAGTTATCTTCTGCTGTGCAGGAACTTCTTATCGAAAGTGTTGACTTTTTTTTTTAATCAGGCATGCCTCTTGACACCACATTATCCAGGAAATGATTTATTCTTTCCACCATTTTATACTTTTCATTTGTGTTATTATTGAATTTTATTTTGTAGAAGGGAAACAGTGAAGTTAAAAAAAAAAAAAAAAAATACTGAATGATTTGCACTCGTCCTTTGAGAATGTTTTTCTGTTTTATTGCTATGATGTTTGTTTTATCTAACAGCTGCTTTTTTGTTATTTACCTTATGTTTTGGAAGGTTGTGGAAAAATGAGCAATGTCATGTCGATTTAATGAATGGTGAAGTAATATTTAGTAGACATTAAGTTTGTTCATTGATGTTCCTTTGTGAAGAATAATTTCCACATTGCAGTGGCAGACCTTTCATACTGTTGTTCCATCTTAATACTTAACAGGTACTTAGTGTGTATGTTTGCAACACCTTGCTGTTTAAACGCTGTTGCCATGTCTTCTACAGAGCATGAATCATTCATCCTCTACTGATGGTGGACTCTTCAGAATCTAAAAAAAAAAAGAAAAAAGGAAAATATATACAAGCAGAATTGTGTGCCACTGTTCTTCAACCGACACATTAAAAAATGTGAAATCTGCAAAATCCTATAGGTTTTGGTATTTGCCTACTGCTCTGCCAGTATGTTTTTCTCTCTGTTCTCTGAGTGGTGACTCGTGATAGGCTTTGACCATTGGAAATCTTGTCTAAAGTAGCTGACCAAAGAGGCCTGCTGTGCTGTGTTTTCAGACGGTCCACTCTATCTTTATACTGCGAACTCTCTGTGTGTGAATGTATGTGTGTGTTAATGCCTGCAAGTGTATATGGATGTGTACTTGTGTGTGTGTGTGTGTGTGTGTGTGTGTGTGTGTGTGTGTGTGTGCGCAGGAGAAAGAGGGAGACATGATGTTCCCTCCTTCTCTCTGTGTTGCAGGTACTGACTGTTTACATCTGTGTAAATATACTCTCACCTGTTCATGTGCGTGCAACGGTCAATAAATAGAAGCCTGTGCTTTTGATTAAAGCCCTCGCTGTAATGGCGTCCTCATTTACCTTGCTTCCTTTTTTGTTGATGTCAGGGTTGTGAATGAAGAATGCAGCTGTCGAGCTTCAGAGATCATCCACAAGAAATGTGCAACAAGATTAGTGCCAGAAATGATTTTATTTGAGTTACATAAATCTGAGAAGGGATTTTCATATTATGCTAAGCACAGGTTTATAATCTTCATAGCTGTGGAATATGGCAGGTAGCCCAAGTCTACAAGCTATTAAAACTCTTCAAATATTTCAGTGGAATAAACTCAACTTCAAACTAGGGCTGGGTGGCCTTGGTCAACAGCAGGGTTAATCCCAAAAATAAGAAGCATAGTGATTCCTTACCCTGGAATTTTTGTTTTGTTTTGTTTTTTCATGCTTCTAAAAGTTATTCAAAAGAAACGATACGAGAGGAGAAAGTCACTCTTTGGTCCAACTTTGAAGGGTTAGGGCAAAACACACCGTCCCACCTGTGGGACACTTTGGCCTCGGTAGTGTTGCTTTAGGTGTGTTTTGGTCTGAGCTGCACTCAGTCTTCAAACAATCTTGACAAATTATACATTGTTTGAAAGCTCTAAGTCTCCTGATTGTATCTGAGTAAAGCATCTTGGGATCCCCACATCACTGCAGCAGCTGGGTCTCATTTTGTAGCAGGTTAGTCACTCCTTACCTTTTTGCTCATTTGTGAGTGAAGATAACATGTCCAGGTGCTAAAGAGTTCATTTTCCCCTCAGGAACCAAATGAACGAAATGCACCCAAGCTTTAGTCCAATAAATGTGATGTTATGAAGAAACAGTCCAAAAACCTCTGTTAGTGTTGTTTGCTTGATTCCTTATTTGATTGAGGCCAGTGTTATGATTGGAATCAAAGATGTTGAAGAACGGTAAACTTTTTTTTTTTTTTTTTTTTGGTTACATTTATTTTCGGTAACAAATTTCGGGGGCAAGATTGGTGTTAATGTGAAAAGCCACACCCTGCACAGCCAAGACTGGTGGCATTTTTTTCCCGTCTGGCTCGATTTGTGCCAGATATCAGGTAACATGTTCCTAATATGGACACAACTCCCTCAGTCTGCTCAAGAATGTCTGTATAGTGGAGCAACTGTCCAGAGAGGAAATAGTAGTTTTAAAGAGCCACTTAGCTCTGGCTCGAGTAGATCTCCCTCTCTCTTTCTCTCTCTCTCTCTCTCTCTCTTTCTCTCTCCCTCTCTCAAACTGTTTGTCTTTTAACTTGATTCCCACTCATTCCCCACAGTTGGTGATGATGTTGATCATGACAAATTCCTCAGTGATTACTCCACCAAGTGCTGAGATTTTTTGTATGCAAAATTTAAATCATGACGCTATTAAACCAAACAAAAATGGCTCTAACTCCATTTTTTTTAAAACATTTTTTCCTCTATTACACCTGTACCTTGTTGCACCTTCTGTCGCATTTGAATACGTCCTTTAACTGGTGTTTTATTGGTTTAGTGAAATGCTGCTTTCATTAAATGAAAACCTGCCCTTACTCTTGCAAATGTGCACAGTAAAACATCTCAGAGGACCAAACTCATGGCTTGTCAACCCTGATCTCATGTAAAAACAGACTTGATGTGGTGATGTTTATGCCAGATGTTTATACACACAGGAATCCCATGTTTACAGTCATATAATGAGTTATCAGTCAAGAGTTTATACACGTTCAGATATACGTAATGTGACAGCATGATGACCTGATGTTTGAGTAACCCTGACACCTTAAACACAACAAACGTGACCTTATGACCATAAAATCCTCCCTTTGTTTCTTCTTCTTGGCTGCACTAGCAATACATCCTCACTCTCATCTAATTCTTAGACTGAGAGTTATGAGTTTATCTCTGTGGATGGATACACTTTGGATGTAGTTCAAGCAATGATGCAAATAGCTGTTTAGTCTCAATGACACACTTTATATAATAAGAGCTGGCATGTGTGTATTATTTAACAGTACCAGCTTTTGGGCATTTAACCATGCATTTGTAATTATAATGGATTAACTTTGAGGGTTAAATTTACAGGCGGCATGTATTTACTTTGGGTTAAGAATGAGTCATCTTGATGTAATTCCTCTATTCGCTACCAAACAAGGAGATGAGTGAGGCCAATACAGAAGTTGGGCAAAAGTGTGTCAACTTAACATGGGGGGGCCTCATTTGTAAACGGCAGAAATACACAAGGAACGCCAGGATAATTAATAACATAAGTGGAGAACTCACTGCAGACCTGCCTTCCTTTACAAAAAGGTCATTTTTAAGTCTCATGATGCAGGAAAGTTTCAGGCCAATAAGAAGAGTACTAAGAGAGCTTGTAAATTCCTAGTTGAGGTCATTGTTTATGAGAGCTTACAGAGGTTTGGCTCATGTCCTGCATGTGTTTTTTTTCTCTGCTCTCTCTGTCCTTTAAAGCTGCGTTGCCTCCGCAGATTTTACCTTCGGCCAAACCCACCGGACACACACACACACACGCACACACACACATACACACACACACAGACAGACAGACAGACAGACATACACACCGCTGGTGTCGAGTGAAAGGCGCTTCAGCTGTTCGCTTTGAGAGGTGAGTCCAAACCACAGCTGTGTTCAACTCACATTATCATGGTGGTTCACTTCAGGTGGCGTTTAACAGGTAGCGCGACAGAAAACGAAGGATGTTATGTGGTTCACTTTAGAGCTTTACTTACGTCCGATGCGTAATTGCAGCTGTTCTTTAATCGCAGTGACATTTCCGACATGAGTCAGTTACACAGAAGGACTTTACTAAAGTTTCTTTGAGTGTACCTGACTGCTCTGGGACCCGTGGTATTACTGTGCATCGGTTTGGCAGTGCAATGGCACGTATCTATCTGCCAACATCTCTAATTTTCAATAATAGATGATTATGTCTTTTTTCTTTTGATCAAGTTAATTTTTGGACTTTTTAATTTCAGGGATAAACCTCTCCATTTACATTTCCTGCTACTTTACACTTGTCCTCCACTTCATTTCAGATGGAAATATTGTAAAAGTGATGTGCAAGGTGCAAGGTGACTTTAGCATACAGCAGGTCCAGGGTCCTGTTATCTGGTGGTGCAGTCCACAATCTGAGTGAAAGCGGGGAGAGTCTTGTTCCAGTTTAAGTCCCTGGAACTCATGAAGAAAGAAAAAGGTCTTCATACAAAACATATGATCACTTTATAGAATATGATTCAGTATATGAAGAAGTTAAACTCAACCAACTGCAACATTAAAGTAGCGCTTACAAGTTAATATATGTTATATAATGATGTCATGTTGGATGTGAGGCTTCATGGTGCTGCTACTTTTGCTTCATTAAAAGAGCTCTCATATGAGCTCTCATAACCAATAACTCATCCATTATGATCCAAGTGTACAAGAACTAAAAATTAAAAAAAAAAGAGTAAATTCTCAAGGTGTATATTTGCAGGAGGTAGGCACTGTCCTATCACAGTGTGTGATGTAAGCCAGAGCAATAGCTCTGTAATAATTAGACAAACTAATGAATTATGATGTAAAGTTTTGTTGTCAGTATGAGTTGATTCGAATCTATAGTCATTTGAAAGGATATCATTATAGTGGAATTGTTGTATTGGACTGTGCTACACTGTTTACCGCACCTCATATTCTGAAAAGCCCTTCCTCACAATGTCTAAATGTAATGTAATGCAATCCACCACAACAAGGCAGTAATAGCTGCAGGGCTGTTGCAACAGATGTGATGTCTATTTATCTCATGGATCAAATGGTGTGTAGTAATAGTATTGTTCTGCAGTGATGCTAGTGTCTGTATAATGAACAGCAGAGCCCAAAGGTACCATGTGAAACTGTTAAAACATGCGTCATCGTACCGTCTCCTCCCTTCGGGTTTGGGCAGCTGCCAAACCAAATGCATGATGTCATTAAAGAGACCTGGAGATTACGATCCTTTCTCTGGCACACTGGACCTCCTTGTGGCTTCAGTATGACTTCACCATCCTTCAGAACCCATAAAAACTTTGTACTTTTCTGAGATATAAATTAACCCACTTTCAACTTGAAAAGACTGCTCTTTCTTTAGTGCGTCAGTTTTTTCATGCAGCAATTTATAAATCACTTTTAAGGCTATATAATAAGTTTCTATTTTTAAATTTTGATGTAAAATCGGCACAAAGGCACTGTACAAATCCATCAGCACAGTTAGAGATGATTCATTTATAAAGCTCAGTATGTGGTGTATAATTTATATCAACCCTCAGTGAAGCTGTTGTATGTCAGTGCCTGTGAGGTCTCCTCTCCATCAGGCCCGCAGCAGGATATTTGCCATGTTGAGGCGACTGAGAGCTTTGGTGCCTGCAGTTTGTTCAGGCAGAGGCATGCCTTTGTTGAGAGGATCGTTTCATCATTTCTTTTATTCTTGCAAATGGAGCAGAGACAGAAAGGGAGAGGGAGAGAGGATGTGCCTGTGTGTAGATGACCGAGTTGACGAAACACATGAAACAGCACACTCACCAGCTCAGCACAAGACTCCTAAATAGGCAATGCTGCTTATTTGTCTGTGTGGGCTGAGCGAGCTAAGTGGAGGCAATATCCTCTCTTGTGGATATTGAACTACTTGTCCTCTGCTGCTGTCCTCTCCCGCCTCTCCTCTTCAGCTAGAGAAAAGCCTCAGTTGAAAAGCACATGATTATTTTGTGAATAAAAGATATGAGAAAAGTTCAAGAGCCCCAGTAAGTAGTGAGGGAGAATAAGAGGGTTGGATGCCTTCTGTAAGTTTTTTTTTATCGTAAGTTTTTTAAAGAGAAGAATCCAGTTCATGATTTCTTGTAGTTATGGAGGATGTTCTCAGATCCTTAAGTAAAAGTATCAATACCACAGTGCAACTTTACTCTAAAAGGTAATATTCCTGCATTAAAAATGTCACCGATAGCATATGCACAAGAGCAAAATGTACTAGGATCATCTCATTTGTCCTGAGTTTCATTAAACATTAAACATTTTAAATGGTCCTTACTCTTTTTTTTTTTTTTTTTACTCCTGGTGTCTTTTTAGCACAAACTCATCTATAAATCTGATGTCTCATTTAGTTAAAGAAAATATAAAGCTGCCAGGAAGACAAACTTGTCTATACAAATTTATGTACAAATGTAATGTCCAAATATGGCTATAGAACAGTTCAAGGTTGAATTTTTTTTTCTTTTTTTACTATTTATACACACAAATACAGCAGAAAAAGGTAAGAAATAAAACTATAATGCAGTTCATTGACATGTGAAGGGATTTTATCTGAACTCGTTTTTGTGCCTTTTCCATTGAAAATCTGAGATATTGTGTGAAAGCCCCACACCAGCACCTCCAGCTGGTTTTCTCTGCTTGTCTCTAAATAGTAATGTTACAGTAGATAAAACATGCTCAGTCTGTTCACAGATGAACAGATACGTAATACAAATATAGAACGTAAAAGTACGCATTATAAAAATGGTGTTATTTTTGTTATTATTGTAGCCAGTCATGGCTGAGCTAATTTCAACTAATTTGAATACTGTTAGATGATCTATAACAAATTATATTTTAAGTGGCTGATGATATGTACTGTACATAAAATAATCCTGGAAAGTAACGATAACTGTCAGTTAACTGTAGTAGAGTAAAAATCACAATATTTCCCTCTAACATGGTGAAGTATAAATGTAAGGAGCATTAAAGTAAAAATAGGAATAGTAAAGTAATAGTACCTGAAACTTCTACCTAATTGGAGTGCCTGAGTAAATTCTTACCACTTTCCATCTCAGATTTTATGTCTCCTCTTATGTGCACTTCTATTTCGTGGTAAAACTGCCCCGGGTCAGTCTAACATGGAGCAAGAAATGATAACGAGGACCTGGGTTAAGTAACTGAGGCTTCACCTTTAAGCGGCCCATAGTGAAGGATGACGACAGCAAGATAAAAAGAAAGAAGATGTCTTTTTGTTTTTTTTGATTATTTCTATGTACAAACAGAAAGTGTAACTTTGTATTGCACCGACTCCCTGAGGGGTGAGTGATGCAAGTCTTGAGAAAAACCTCGTGTTACAGAGACTGACGTGCGCTGTCCATGAATGCTTTATGGCTTATGTTGGTTTATGTGTATGACTGTGATATTGAACCCATAGTCAATCGCACAATTGGATTTCTTCTTCTCTGTAACATATTGCTCAGTGTTGAGGCTTGAGTCATGTGAAACCAGTGAGAGAGATGAAGTGCCGCTGGTCTACAGAGAGGGCTTTATCTGAAAGTGCTTGTGTGAGTGTGTGTGTGTAAATGTTTGTGTGTTGGCAAAACTCCTATCCAAGCTATATCCTTCCAACAGGAGTGTTACTGTGTTGATAGAGCTCCCCTCATGGCCTTTTGTCCAGACATATTTGACCTCAGTGTGTCTGGGTCTTGCAGCCACACCCTGATTTCTTCGGCTGCTTACTGACCTTATGTCCCTGTTGTAATACAGCTCTGCGTGTGGACTAGTGACAGCGTGTGTCTTGTTGCTGTGTTTTTCTGTGTGTGCATGGTGAGTCATTGTTCCCCTGACAGAGATAGTGTGGCTCAGTCTGTCACTGGTCTGTCTGCCCATTAACCAGATTTGGAGGGTGACTGAGACACATGGATTGAGGGGGCGAAAGGTTGTGTTGAGAAACAAGCTCTCAGACACTAACAGTGACAGAGAAAAGAGTGTGGCTCCTTGTTCCAGTCATACTGAGATATTTGCTCTTATATGCTCAGGAAGTACAGGTCAGATTTCCTGTTTCTATGTGCCACCAAACCTCAAATCTACCATGTAGAGAGGTGCTTGATGATGGGCTGATAGCCAAGAAGCTACACCTACCAAACAATTCATGGCATGCATTGCATTTCATGATAGGCTGCGTTTCAAAAGCACACACGATACGTGAGAGAGTGTATTACTGTTTGTTTCCATGCGTGGTAAGGACAGATTTAAAACCTTTATGCTTGTTTTCTCTCAAAATCTAAAAATGGCAAATTAGTAACATCACCAGCTACATTATTAACCTCGATTATTTTATTTGGAAAAAAATATATTTATAGTTTTGTTTATTTTTCCAGATGATCAGGAGTTATTTTTGTTCTCTTAAAAGCATGGGCTTAAGAGATGGCAGGTGGGGAGGTGGGCACCAGATTCCAGCTTTATTGTCTGTCAGGACGGCAGTTACTGGTAGAGTTAACAAGATCACCAGATGAGACTGTTAATATGCAGCACACAGCGTGACGCCAGATGTACTTTATATTAGTGCTGCCAGAAAATCAAAACAGGAAGCCAGTGGATAAGCAATATGTCCTTAAGTTAGTTTATTTAGTTTTAGTTACAAAAGTCTGGCAAACATTTAAAAAATATTCTCAAATGAAGAGTTTGGGCTGTTTTTGCTTACCACTAAGAAATGTTATATCACTGACCAGATTTTATAACTTCACCACTGGACTTTTGGTGGTGTTCATATGAAACATAAAAGCAGAAAATGTCCTCTGAAAACAACTGATATTTGGCTTATACAGGATAAGTAAGGGAATATGTTTTTTTATTCCATGTTACATA